TACATGTTACTTAAGTATATCTCATTAACTACAACCACATACACTAATCACCAACCCACAAATCGTTCCCACATAAAAACCCATACCAACCCACACCCACACACCACACCACCCACTCTACCCTACCACCCAACCCACACTCTTATCTTTACTTACTAATCCCGATACTATATTTTTACCCTCCTTTCTTCTACTATTATACCTAATCCTCCTATTATTTTATCATTCTACTCTCTCGCTCTCTCTCTCTCTCTCTCTCTCTCTCCCTCTCCTCTCTCTCGCTCTCTCTCTCTCTCTCTCTCTCTCTCTCTCTCTCTCTCTCTCCTTTATACTCTATTCCTTATCGCTCTCCCTACTCACTCCTCACTCCCTCTCTCTCTCTCCATTATCCAACTAAGAATATTTGCAGATGAAATGTAATTATAGCTGAAGATAATTTACAGGATAAGGTATAATAATGTACTATAAATACACAACAAGTAACGAAAATGCATCCCGCCAGAGGACCGCCGCTGTGCATATTTCCATTTATTAAAGATCCTTGCTTTATTTGCTAATTAATATTACCCCGCTCGCTCCTCTCCTCTCTCCCTCTCTCTCCCAAGGATTTATGTTTATAAAGAAAAAAAGGTCAAAACTTTGTATGTCAGAACACGAGCCATACATATATCAGAATGTCTGCCGTTCCGAATCCCACGGGGAAGGGTATATTATTGATACAACATTTAAACACATATGCATTTACCACTCCTCTCATTTATACACACACACTGCCATACACATATGAACATTAAATAGATCTATATATTTGCTTATATTATGTATCTACCTCTCTCCTACTCTTTATAATTATCTTGCTCGTATCTATCTTCTATATATGATACAGAACTACATGCTCGCTCCGTCTCCCACAAACACAATATATAGTTACATTATACAAACATGCACTTAACAATATACTACATACATACACACAACACTACACACACATAACATACATATAGGATATATATACATTTATTAGTGTATGTTATGACACATAATTGTTCTTACGTATATCAGACTAAAATATTTCTATATATACGTATATATCTGTATGCGTTTGCATGCGGCCCCTCCTCCCCCCCGTCTGGAAGTTTTTGTTGAGTAATTTTTTTATATATATTTTCCAATTTTCTTCCTTTACAGACTTATTTATTTTAATCGGCTCTCATCTCTCGACGCATTTATTTCGCAGTCTCACTTTTGGAAGTTTTCTGCCTCTTCGCACGGCATTACAATGTGTGTATCACGCGTAGTGGGCTGGCATATGATTTAAATAACGATCAATACATCACATAACACACCACACATGTGATATATTTATAGTGATTAGATATATCCTCTCTCCTCTACCATAATACTCTCTCCTAATACTACCATAGATAACATACACTAATTACTACATACTCCTCCTCACTCCCCCCTATAAGTTTATAATTAATAATTGAAGTATAATTAAAATATTATTGTGACGTAAACCTATGATTAGCCTCATACCACACACACTCACACCACTCTCCTACCAATAAGCTGATCTCCATGTAAAGTATATATTACACGCTTTTGCAATTTCTTTTTCATAATAATTTCAGTTATTGAAACTGCCCCGTGCCCATGATGTTTCGTTGTTCATGCTGGGAGTTTCCTCTCACGGGTAAAACCGGGCGACAGAATTACATCTTTTCGTTCCATGTTCTTAGAAACAGTCTTTCATGGAACAAATAGAAAAGTACTGGTATCGGAGTTCCCCACGATGAATCCGCCCTAGCATGAGAACTCAAGTCTTTCTAATAAGCCGTGCTAAGGATAGAAAATAATCATGGAAGTGGTAGTATTGAGAAATTGCACCCTCACCGCTACTCGAGTATACGTCAGAGCCTCATCGATATTCACCGCGCACTAGTCTGACTCGCAACAAGAAGGCAAGGCAGCGTCCTCTCTCAAGGGGCAGCTCGGTATTGGGGGTGCGCTTGGCTCGTGCGCTCGCTGCCGCCCGGGGTGAGACGGCAGTGTTCGGACGCTTAATGCCCGTGCGAAAGACGGAGCCTCGCACTCGCCTTTAAAAGAAGAAATGTATGACCAGAGGGTGAATGAGCAGATAAGGTCTTGAATGGCAAGAATAAAAACATGGACGATTGGATGAATTGGAAGTGACATGGCCTCCAACCAGTTTGTATGCATGAGGTAAACACCCAGGAAAATCTGACCCAACTTGAAATGTGAGGTGACGATGAGCTGCCCGCTCGCCCAGTGAGTAAAAATGGAGCGAATAATGGGGTCCACGGCCATGAAAACCACAGTGTGATGAGGTAGTGAAAATACGAGTTGAACCGTCCCGCCACTGGAGAAACATGAGTGCAGTCGGCAACCGGATGTGAAGTGACAAAAAAATCAGATCGATGGGGTGAATTCATAGCAGAGGAGGCATGAGGGTGACACGGTCTTTCTGGGCTATCTCTTCGTTTCCCCCTCAGAACTTGACTCCATCTTCTTCGGCTTTGGATGGTTCACTACACACATATGAGCCCCTCCTCGCTCCACTCTCGCTCTCGCCAGTGAGTGGAGAGGCTCGGCGACGCTGAGTAATTGAACACCCCAAATTAGTGAAGAGGTCTGTTAGCTTTGGATAATGATGTGTAGGCGAAAGAGGGAAGACAAATAGAGATAGAGCCACTCGCGCAGTAGATGACGTCCACGCATCCTCTCACCGGCTAATAAAGAGAGGTTATCGACCGCTCCTCTCCCTTCCTGTCCGTACCACGAAGGTTGGCAAAGGAATGGTATCTCGAAGGGCGCGTAACATATCTCGGTACCCCACTTCCAAGAAGACGAATAAAAAGGAAGATGGAAAAAATACGAGGAGGATGAACAGTGTTCCGCTCCACGCGCGCTCGCCGCCCAATGATGTGAGTGTATGAAGAAATATGAAGTGAATGAGGCATGAGTGATGTGATGCACGCTCCAAAAAAAAAGTGAGTGGGATGAATGTGGACACTGCAGTAGAAAAAAAAGAATAACTGAGAGCATGAGTGAGTGATGAGTAAAAAAAACTGAAGCCATGCACTCACCATTAGGACTGAGGGACCCACCAACCGCGCTCGCTCCTCGCTCCCCGCTCGCACGCTCACCTGGCTGAACAGGGCGCGATGGTTCATTCGCCAGGTCTGCCAGCCCCACCGTAACCGACTTTCTCGCGTGCACTCTCCTCCGCGTTTTGAGCTATTATCCGCGGATTTACCCACGCGCTGGGCCGCCGCCAACATAAAATACGATCATCATATATATTAAATATGGGGACAAACCTTAACCCCCTTGACCCCCCCCCCGCTTACTCCCTCTCTCTCTCTCTTCTCTTCCCCGCTCGGAAGCCCGATTGGATCGTATGGCACAACACCGCAACCGAAGAAGCTGATCCCCAGCGAAAGAAAGCCCTTCGACTCACAGAAGGAATGCCCAGCCCCTCTGTGATCCTCCTACTTCTCTTCTCTTCTCTCCTCTCCCCCTCTCTCTCTTCTCTCAGTTCATACTGCGGTCTCCTGCTCTTCTCCCACCAGCATCCTCTGACCCGAATCTATCTCCCTCTGTGTTCTTGTGTGTTCTCATTTCTACTTTCTCGTGTATTTCTGTCTGTCTGTTTCTCTGGACTTCTCTCGTTTCTATTCATCTCTCTCGGTCCTCACCTCCTTCTCCCTTCACATTTCTATCCATATGAAAGCCTTCTTATGACGTCCCGGCTCGCTTTTGGCCTAACCCAAATAACATGTGACGTACTCGCTCTTTCTCCTCTCTCCTCTCCTCTTGTTCCTGCTTATCCATCTCTTTGCGCGGGCTCGGGCTTCCCCTCTTGTTCCCGGCACACCTTTCCTCTTACTTCTCTCGCTCTCCTGCCGTCGTTTCATCCAATCTCTCTTTTCTCTCATTCTCTCCCCTTTACCCCCTCCACTCTTCTTTGGATCCATCTCTTTTTATCACTCTATCCATCTCTTTTATTTTTTCCTTCCTTATCTCTCTCCCTTCCTCCCTTTCCTCTCCCTCTCTCTCCGGACCCCGTCCCAATTTTACCAAACAACAAGTTACACAAAGACTACCATCTTCTTATTCCTCAACCCCTTCTCCTCCTCTCTCTCTCTCTCTCTCTCTCTCTCCAACCGTATCTAGCAACACGCGGTCATCACAACAGCGTCGCCACTCCTGACGAGGCGACGGGAGGAAGAGCGGAGGGAAGGAGGAGAGGGAGATCGAGTGGAAGAGAGGGAAGGAGGGAGAGGGAGGGGCAAGCCAACTCCTGGCCAAGTCTTCATTATCACAAGTTCATATTATTCAGGAATCTCTTTTTCCTTCCCTCTCCCTCCTCCTCCCCTTTTCTTCTATTTTCTCTCATTCCCTCGTTTTATCTATTCTATCTCACTTCCAAACGTTTACAGCAATATCGGTTACGTTATCATTTCGCGAGTCAAAAAAAAAAAAAATGAATTGAACAGCCTACATCTATAAGATTGATACTCCGCGCGTCGTATTTCTATCCGTGATAAATATGAGATCGAAATAAAAAAAGAATAATCCGGCGAGAGGGAGAGAAAAATGTAAAAGGGAAAGATTTAGAAATGAAAGGAAGAAATCAGTCCATGTAGACTTGACTTTGGTCTCGGCGCCAATGCTGAGCGAAGCAACAATTTCGTCCACTCAGCAGGTAAGCCCTCCCTGCCAGACGCACGACCAACCGCCACGAATAACCCTAATATCTCCCTATCCCACGTCCCATTCCCCTCTCCGACGTACCGAAATGCGAAGAAAAACGCAAAACGGACCTATTACATTAACTCCCAAGCTCGGAAACCCGTGAGATGAGGAAATATAACGAAAAATCGCTGTCTGAGCTGCCGCACGAACGCCGAAAGCTCGTACACAGGGGCGACCGGGGAACCGCCGACGTTGTGCCAGAGTCTTTCTCTCGCTCTTTTCGGCAACGTTCGAATCCCGGAGAAACGTTTTGCAAGTTTCTTTTTTTTCGGTGACAGTTGACAGGGGATACATATATATTACGATAGTGAAGTTGAGGAAATTCTCTAGTGACTCTATCGAAAAGCTTCGTTTGGTGTGTAAAATTGCGATTATATAAACGAATGGAGGTGTTCGAGATCTGTGAAATCGGGAAAGCATTCTGAAACAGGTAATTAAATTTTGTTATATTTGTAATGTAACTACTCTTAAGTAATGTACAAATATCAAATGTTTATGGATAGTATGTACGCACACGCACGTGCATGCATATCCTCCCTCTCTCTTCTGTCTGTCTCTGTCTCTCTCTCCCTTTCTCCCTTTCTCCCTCTCTCCTCTCTTCCTCTCCCTCTCCTCCTCCCTCCTCCTCTCTCTCTCTCTCTCTCTCTCTCTCTCTCTCTCTCTCTCTCTCTCTCTCTCTCTCTCTCTCTCTCTCTCTCTCTCTCTCTCTCTCTCTCTCTCTCCCCCACAGATCTTATGCAGCAACGCGTATATTTAGACACACACAGTGTTTTCTTAACGTTTAATGCTGACGCAAGCATGGAGAAAATGACCTTTGCAATAGTTCTGCACTCATTAGCATGTGTGCATGTCCAGGAGGGTGTTTTTTTTGTTTTTTTTTTTTTTTTTTTTTTTTTTGTGTTTGTTTTGTTTGTGTGTTTGTGTGTGTGTGTGTGTGTGTTGTGTGTGTGTGTGTGTGTGTGTGTGTGTGTGTGTGATGTGTGTGTGTGTGTGTTGTGCGTTCGTGTGTGTGTGTGTGTGTGTGTGTGTGTGTGTGTGTGTGTGTGTGTGTGTGTGTGTGTGTGTGTGTGTGCGTGTGTGTGTGTGTGTGTGTGTGTGTGTGTGTGTGTGTGCGTCTGTATGTTTAAGTATCTATACCCGTGTCTATTATATGTACGCGCGTGTGTGTGTATGTATCTGAGCACATATATCTGTATCTAACATTGTATACGTGTGTGGTTTGAGTATATGTACGTGCGTGTCTATTGCGTGTGCGTGCGTGGCTTGTGTGTGTGTGGTGTGCGTGGTGCGTGTGTGCCGTGTGTGCGTGGCGTGTGCGTGCCATGTACGTGTACATCCATATGTGCGTGTGCGTGTGGTGGTGTGTTGTGTAGCGTGTGCTTCCGTGGCGGTGGTGTGCGCGTGTTGCGTGTGCGTGTACGTCCGTCGTATGTGTGTGCGTTGTGTTCGGCATGTGCGTGCGCGTGGAAATAAGCACAGCGCCCTCGGTTCTGGCCTCAGCACTTCGTCAGCGTTCTAATAATCGCGTGGGAGCTGAGTTAGGTGGCAATAGCATTAGCTCAGCAGGGTTTTCGGTTGGCGCGTGAGGTAGGAAAAGGGGGGCGGGGGAAGGGGAGGGGGAGAGGAAGGGAGGGTGGAGAGGAGGGGGAGGGGGAGTGAGGGGGGGAAGGAGGGGGGAGGAGAGGAAGGGAGGGAGGGAGGGAGGATTGGGGTGAGGGAGGGGGGTGAGGGGAGGGGAAGGGGAGAGGAAGGGAGGAAAGGGTGGGGGTGGGGAGTGATGGGGGGAGGGGGGAGGGGGAAGGAGGGAGGAGGGAGGAGAGGGAAGGAGAAGGAAGGGAGAGGGGGAGAGGGGAAATGGAAGGAGAGGGGGAAGGGAGGAAGTAGGGGAAAAAGAGAGAGAGGGGAAGAGGGGGAAAAGGAAGGAGAGGTGGAGAAGAAGGGGAGGAAGAGAAGGGAGAAGGGGGGAGAGGGAGAGGAAGAGGAAAGGAGGAGGGGAGAGGAGGGAGACAAGAGAGAGGGGGAGAGGGGGGGAGAGGGAGGAAGGAGAGTTGGGGGGAGGAGAAGGAGGGAGAGAGGGAAGAAGGAGGAGAGGAGAGGGGGGAGAGGGAGAAGGTAGGAGGGGGAGAGGGAGGAAGGGAGGGAAGAGAGATGAGTAATGGGAGTAAATACATATTGGCTGACAGAAACAATCCTATTAATATTTACATTGATGGCACTCATGCTAACGACAATGATAATAACATTGCTGATGATAATGTTGATAAATGATGTAGCATCTACTATGAATAAGAATAATGGAAATAGAGATAACTAAATACCGTAAAACATCAATAATAGAAATAATGATGATGATGATAATGATGGTAGCGGTGATGACAACGATAATTATTGTGATAATATGATACTACTATTACTACTAACTACAACTACTAGTAATATTTATAACGACAAAAATGGCAATAATAATAGTAGTAGTTAAGTTAGTAAGTAGTAGTAGTAGTAGTAAAAGTAATAGTAGTAGTAGTAGCAATGCTGTGTGGAAGTAGAAGTAGTAGTAGTAGTAAGTAGCAGTAGTAGTAGTAGTAGTAAGTAGTAGTAGTAGTAGTAGTAGTAGTAGTTAGTAGTAGTAGTAGTAGTATATAGTAGTAGTAGTAATAGTATAATAGTAATGATAATAATAATAATAATGATGATAATGATGATGATGATGATGATGATGATGATGATGATGATGATGATGATGATGATGATGATGAATGATGATGATGATGATGATAATAATTAAATGATAATAATATAAAGATAATGAAAGAGTAGTAGCAGTAATAATAAGTACAGTAAAATAGATCATATGATAATAATAATTATAATGACTCATGAGCATAATAATGATAATAATGGTAATGATGATGATGATGAACAATGTTGATAATTAAATGTGTGATGTTGTTATAATATAATGACAATGGCAATGATAATGATAATAATCGTGTTAAATCGAGATCGTGATGATGAATATATTAATATTAATGATGAATAAAGTAATAAATATGATGATGGTGATGATGCTTGTAATAATAATAATATATAATAATAATAATAATAATAATAATAATAATAATAATAATAAATAATTCATGATGATGATGATGATGATGATGATGATGATGATGATTGATGATGATGATGATGATGATGATGATGTGATGATATGATGATGATGATGATGATATATATTATAATAATAAATAATAATTAATAATAATATAATATGATAATAATAATAATAATATATAATAATGATATATATTAATTAATTAATAATAATAATTATAATAAATAATTAAAAATAATATAATAATAATAGAATATTAATAATGAATGATATAATGATATTGATACTACCACTACTACCTACTACTACTTTTACTACCACTTCTATTACTATATCATAATAATGATAATAAAACAATAACAACAACAATAGTATCTTTAATTAAAATGATAACCCGGGATTATGAAAAATTATTAAAAATGATATGTAATTGATAATTGTGATGAATGATGACGATAACAACAACCAACAACACAATAATTAATAATATTAATAATAATAATAATGATAATATTATGATAATATGAATAATTAAATTAAAAATTTAATAAAAAATAAAAAAAAAAATTAAAAATAAAATTGGGATTTAATTTATGATAATATAATAATGTAATAAGGATATTAATAATTAATATAATAGGATATATAATATAATAAGGATATATAATGAATAAATTTAATTAAAATAATGAAGAATAATAAATTAATAATAATAATAATGACATGTAATAATAATAATAATACAATAAAGATAATATAATAATAAAAAATAATATAATAATAATAATATTAATAATAATAATAATACAATGATATTAATAATATAAAAATAAATGGATGAAGATGCCAAACGATTGATGATAAAATGATACACGGTAGCCCCATCACAACACCAACCACATAACAAGACAATTATTCATTTCTCAAACAAACTCGGATTTCAGATAAAGCACGAATTAAATCGTAACGAGGGTCTTGATTTGTGAGGG